GGGGACGCTTCATGGTTTTGTGTTGATGAGAAGAATCCAAACTCTGAGCGAGCGTGAGCCTTGAGTCATGAACCTGGAGAATTGCATTGAACTTATTGGAATGAATCGATAAAACTGAATTTATGGAGGAAGCGTTGGAGCATGAATATAAAACATACACAAAGAAAAAGGGGCGTAATACGTGAAATATTCAACCGTCTCCTGTTGGAATCTCAGCCGAAGATATTCAATATATCGCACAAGTCAATACATTGCTGCACATCTGGTATTCACTTACTTCCGCCTCACTCTCTGACTCATTCTCTGTCTCACTCTCAGACTTTCTCTCACACTCACTATCTGTCTCACTTTCAGACTCACTCTGTCTCACTCTCAGACTCACTCCCAGACACACTCTCAGACTTTCTCTCAAACTCACTCTGTCTCACTCTCTGTCTCTGTCTCACTCTCAGACTCACTCTGACTCACTCATGTAACACACTCTGACTCACTCTCAGACTCACTCTCTGTCTCACTCTCTGTCTCACTCTCAGACTCACTCTCTGTCTCACTCTCTGTCTCACTCTCAGACTCACTCTCTGTCTCACTCTCAGACTCACTCTCTGTCTCACTCTCAGACTCACTCTCAGACTCACTCTCTGTCTCACTCTCAGACTCACTCTCTGACTCACTCTCAGACTCACTCTCTGTCTCACTCTCAGACTCACTCTCAGACTCACTCTCTGTCTCACTCTCAGACTCACTCTCTGTCTCACTCTCTGTCTCACTCTCTGTCTCACTCTCTGACTCACTCTCTGACTCACTCAGACCCACTCTCTGTCTCACTCTCTGTCTCACTCTCTGTCTCACTCTCTGACTCACTCTCTGAATCACTCAGACTCACTCTCTGTCTCACTCTCAGACTCACTCTCTGTCTCACTCTCTGTCTCACTCTCTGACTCACTCTCTGACTCACTCAGACTCACTCTCTGTCTCACTCTCAGACTCACTCTCTGACTCACTCTCAGACTCACTCTCTGTCTCACTCTCAGACTCACTCTCAGACTCACTCTCTGTCTCACTCTCAGACTCACTCTCTGTCTCACTCTCTGTCTCACTCTCTGTCTCACTCTCTGACTCACTCTCTGACTCACTCAGACCCACTCTCTGTCTCACTCTCTGTCTCACTCTCTGTCTCACTCTCTGACTCACTCTCTGAATCACTCAGACTCACTCTCAGACTCACTCTCTGTCTCACTCTCTGTCTCACTCTCTGACTCACTCTCTGACTCACTCAGACTCACTCTCTGTCTCACTCTCAGACTCACTCTCTGTCTCACTCTCAGACTCACTCTCTGTCTCACTCTCAGACTGACTCTCTGTCTCACTCTCAGACACACTCTCTGTCTCACTCTCAGACTCACTCTCTGTCTCACTCTCAGACTCACTCTCTGTCTCACTCTCAGACACACTCTCTGTCTCACTCTCAGACTCACTCTCTGTCTCACTCTCAGACTCACTCTCTGTCTCACTCTCCACGTCCTGAGTGGTGCCACACAGAGGAACCAGGCCAGCGGTGTTATTTCAAACTCTCCACACTCGGTTATTCACAGTTGGAACAATGGCATCCAAAACTAAACCGTAGCATTATTGCCTCTGGATCAGATGCAGCAGAGGAGTGAGACTAACCCTGCGTCTGCCTCTGCACTGCAAAAACACCCAGTCACTGAAATGACTGCAAATAATGTTTTAAATTCAGTACTATTCATTACTAATATTTTGAAGACGCTCAGGGTTGAGGGCTGTCTCACGACCTCATGAAGACTGTTCCATATTCTTGCTTTAGCTCTTGTTACTCTACTGCAAATGCATGTTTAATGCACATATGTGGAATGGTGTGATTATATATTAGGTAAGGGCTCACAAACCAATGTGATGGTTTTAGTATTAATACATTTCAATTCAAGCTTTATTGGTGTTGAATAATGGCAGGATTAGGAAACTGTTGTGGACAAATATTATGGATCTGTTTTTTGTTCTTTCATATTAGGACTAAATGCAATTCAATAATCACACCAATAAAATAAGATTAGATAAGATGAGGGTTAGGGTTCATTGTGAGATCAATAAAGATAAACTTTATCGATCTCACAATGGAGAAATGTAGGGCCAACCATTACCAACACCAAGCAAACACCAAACTAAACTTGGTCCAAACTGTTGTAGATTCTAGTCTTTTTACTACAGCATTTACAGCATTTACAGTATTTGTTGTATTCATATTTTTTTGCAGTGTTCGTTCCGAGAATGAGGCTGAGTTATTTTTGCACCGTGTCACGCTGCTGCTGCTAAAGACAGAATATGTGTTAGTGGGTAAGGCGAAGTGAAAGGTTCTCAAACTGTGGCCCACGTGTCACTGTTGGAGTCTGAGTCCAACCCGAAGCCTTTGGCTTTTCCAGGAAGACGCCCGTTCGAGCTGACTCAAACAGATTCCAGCAGATTCCATGTGCGAGAATCTGGAGACACATTTATAGTAACTTCATAGTAACTCATGAGCCAATCAGGAGCCAGGCCGGTCTGTTCCCGTCTGCGCTAGTTTCTATTTAAAGCCACATTTGCGGGTAGAAGACAGCTGATTAAGGGTCTTGTGTTGGTTTGCATAAATGTAACTCTGGGAATAACTCTCCATTTATATAAATGCTATAAATATATACTTTCTGTGTACATTAAGTCATCGCCTTTGTGCAGCAAGAGTCATGTGACCACAGTGACCAATGGTAGTTCTGTTTTGAATATATTTATTATGAAAAATACTGTCATTTGGTCCAAAATATGTAATGTTTTCATTTTGAAATATAGTTGAAGTTGTAAACATCAACTATAAATATCCAAAAGTAAATTGCCTCTTCATTAATACACATTTGTGCAGCTTCATATTAGGACTATACAGCACTGAATTTGCCTGGCCTGCCAGACACTCCTCCTTTCTGTTCAAAAGAAGAACCGTCTGGACACCTCTTCCTAGCCTATCATTTCACGATTTTACCCACATCGGTCCAATCACGCACCGAGAGGCGGGACTTCCTTTCACCTTTGAGTTGCTAATAACTCCTCGTATCTTTAAGTTTTTGTTACAAAATCGACAGCAGTCGTTTACATTTGCACTAGCTGACATGCCGCCATCCCTTGTTTTGTGTTTACTGAAACGGCTTGGGTGCCGCTAGTTGCTGCGTCATATCCTGTGTGCATCTAATTGGTTGATGCAGTCTGTCAACCACGCCCACCGGGAATTCGCTGAGATCAAGCTCGTTCCCAGACTATATGTCTTTGAAAAAGCATATCGTTTGGCAGGCCAGGCAAGCACTGAATAATACTGAATAACATGAATAACACTGAACAACACTGAATAATACTGAATAACACTGAACAACACTGAATAATACTGAAAAATACTGAACAACACTGAATAACACTGAATAATACTGAACAACACTGAATAACACTGAATAATACTGAATAATACTGAACAACACTGAATAATACTGAATAATACGGAACAACACTGAATAACACTGAACAACACTGAATAATACTGAATAATACTGAATAATACTGAACAACACTGAACAACACTGAATAACACTGAATAACACTGAATAACACTGAATAACACTGAATAATACTGAATAATACTGAATAACACTGAATAACACTGAATAATACTGAATAACACTGAACAACACTGAATAATACTGAATAATACTGAATAACACTGAATAACACTGAATAACACTGAATAACACTGAATAATACTGAATAACACTGAACAACACTGAATAACACTGAATAATACTGAATAACACTGAATAACACTGAATAATACTGAATAACACTGAACAACACTGAATAACACTGAATAATACTGAACAACACTGAATAACACTGAATAATACTGAATAACACTGAATAACACTGAATAATACTGAATAACACTGAACAACACTGAATAACACTGAATAATACTGAATAACACTGAACAACACTGAATAACACTGAATAATACTGAATAACACTGAACAACACTGAATAATACTGAATAACACCGAATAATACTGAATAACACTGAATAATACTGTAAAGTGCCAAACTGTGGTTGTGTCCTTAGGCAAGACACTTCCCCCACATTAGAATGAGTCTGGTGTGTGTGTGAGTGGTTGGTGGTGGTGGGAGGGGCTTCTGTCAGTGTGCCCCAGGGCAGCTGTGGCTACAGGAGTTTATCACCTGTGTTTGGAGAGAGAGGATAATGATGTGAAGAGACTTTGAGAATCTGAAAAGCTTTATATTAAACTGATGAATTATTATTATTATTATTATTATTATTACTATTATGATTATTATTATGAAAAATAAATCATGACCATGAGCTGTTATTATCAAATGATTGCATAAGTTAGATTGTAGAGATAGTCCAAATCAGTGTTGTGATGGTTATTCTGAGTTTGGATTAGCACAGACGTAAACACAGACGTAAACACAGACGTAAACACAGACGTAAACACAGACGTAAACACAGACGTAAACACAGACGTAAACACAGACGCAAACACAGACGCAAACACAGACGTAAACACAGACGCAAACACAGACGTAAACACAGACGCAAACACAGACGTAAACACAGACGCAAACACAGACGTAAACACAGACGCAAACACAGACGTAAACACAGACGTAAACACAGACGTAAACAAAGACGTAAACACAGACGTAAACACAGACGTAAACATGTGGTATCAGCCTACAGCCGCGACTCCAGAACAGCACCAGCGTCACATGTTTCAAATGCATCTGTGACATCTGTGTTTGCCATAGTTTGGTACCATGTGTCCACAGATGAATCCTGGTAAGAGTCGGTGCTGGTGTAGTCCCTCCTGGTCTGGAATGACACTCACTGGAGGTGTTTTATTGGCGTGGGTAAAATGGCGGCTTTGGTCGATACTGCGGCGTGCCCAAGGAGGACCATGTGCGTGTCCGAGGAGGACCATGTGCTGCTGCGTGTCCAAGGAGGACCATGTGCGTGTCCGAGGAGGACCATGTGCTGCTGCGTGTCCAAGGAGGACCATGTGCGTGTTCGAGGAGGACCATGTGCTGCTGCGTGTCCAAGGAGGACCATGTGCGTGTCCGAGGAGGACCATGTGCGTGTCCGAGGAGGACCATGTACTGCGGCGTGTCCGAGGAGGACCATGTACTGCTGCGTGTCCGAGGAGGACCATGAACTGCTGCGTGTCCGAGGAGGACCATGTACGGCGTGTCCGAGGAGGACCATGTACTGCGGCGTGTCCGAGGAGGACCATTTACTGCGGCGTGTCCGAGGAGGACCATTTACTGCGGCGTGTCCGAGGAGGACCATGTACGGCGTGTCCGAGGAGGACCATGTACTGCGGCGTGTCCGAAGAGGACCATGTACTGCGGCGTGTCCGAGGAGGACCATGTACTGCTGCGTGTCGGAGGAGGACCATGTACTGCGGCGTGTCCGAGGAGGACCATGTACTGCGGCGTGTCCGAGGAGGACCATGTACGGCGTGTCCGAGGAGGACCATGTACTGCGGCGTGTCCGAGGAGGACCATGTACGGCGTGTCCGAGGAGGACCTTGTACGGCGTGTCCGAGGAGGACCATGTACTGCTGCGTGTCCGAGGAGGACCATGTACTGTCCGAGGAGGACCATGTACTGCGGCGTGTCCGAGGAGGACCATGTACGGCGTGTCCGAGGAGGACCATGTACTGCGGCGTGTCCGAAGAGGACCATGTACTGCGGCGTGTCCGAGGAGGACCATGTACGGCGTGTCCGAGGAGGACCATGTACTGCTGCGTGTCCGAGGAGGACCATGTACTGCTGCGTGTCCGAGGAGGAACATGTACGGCGTGTCCGAGGAGGAACATGTACGGCGTGTCCGAGGAGGAACATGTACTGCTGCGTGTCCGAGGAGGACCATGTACTGCTGCGTGTCCGAGGAGGAACATGTACGGCGTGTCCGAGGAGGACCATGTACTGCTGCGTGTCCGAGGAGGACCATGTACTGCTGCGTGTCCGAGGAGGAACATGTACGGCGTGTCCGAGGAGGAACATGTACGGCGTGTCCGAGGAGGAACATGTACTGCTGCGTGTCCGAGGAGGACCATGTACTGCTGCGTGTCCGAGGAGGAACATGTACGGCGTGTCCGAGGAGGAACATGTACGGCGTGTCCGAGGAGGACCATGTACTGCTGCGTGTCCGAGGAGGACCATGTACTGCGGCGTGTCCGAGGAGGACCATGAGGAGGACTAGGACTGTTTCAAATGCACCAAACAAAAGAGACTGAAACGTGGCTCTAAACAAACAGAGCTTCTTAGCAACAGCTCCGAGGCCAAAGAGGACAAAGCTCTTCTGTGAGGCCAGGCCGTTCATAAGTGAAGCCGACTCCATGTTTGGATTTGAGTCTTTTAAACACCAACATTGGACTTGTTAAAGCTGGGGTACCTAACTTTAAAAACACAGCAATTGGAACTGTGTAATAAAAATCATGTAACTAGTTCCTACAGTTTTTACATTTATGTGTGTTTTGACCTGAGTCAAGAATCTGTCGCCATTTGCAGTAAAACCACATTGGAAAGATTGTGCGAGACGCCCCAGAGTGCAGCAGGAGGGCCCCAAGGTCACAGTGACTCCCGGGACAAGAACACTCATGTTATTGAGTTTATGAACGATGACGCACACTTGTTGGAGGTGGATGTGTGAATCCATTTATCGTCAAAACTTTTTTTTTTTCTTTTCAGATTAAAATGACAAAATAATCTTTTCTTCTGACTGTGGGTCAAAAAAGGATTTGACTGACGTGTTCAAAATTTGGTACAGAAATCAGACAAAGATTCTCCAAGTTTAACATCTGTTTTTAATTTATCTTGACAATCAGATACAGAACATTCAAACAAAAGAGAGCTCCTAAAACTATGCTATGCTGTCCCTCTCTGGCCCTGCGCTCACTGACTCCAAGCCTCCAGCCCAAACATAAAAAGAGCAGATGTCCAGGAAGAAGGGGGCGTGTCGTATCAGGCAGCTTCCGGTCCAGGGTCCGGCCTTTTCCTTCGTCTGCCAGACCTAAAACAGAAATCATTCACACACACACTACCCCTCCCTAATTCTATAGAAATATTACTTCCTTGAGATAAGACAGGAGGCTTTTCAAGGTCCACCTCCTTCTTCAAACAACGAAAGGATTAGCAGAATCCCCCCAGATTAACTATCATTAACTCATATTTCTGCACTTTTGGACTACCAAGGAACAAGGGGAGACCAGGTCTTTTTGCTTGGGAAAGAGACAGAGTTCAATTCCGGGTCAATCAAATTCACATCTGCTTTTAGTCTATATTTAATACAACATGACCTTGACTGAAATCTTCATCCCCCAGTTCTGCGACAGTCCGAGTCTTTTGTGGTTGTTCTTTCTCTGATGTTAAAGCTGCACATTCTTCCAGGACGTCACAAACTGGGGATTTGTTTTGGCACATGGTTGGCATTAATTATACAAAAGTTTAGAAAAATAGACTTAGAAACATAAACACAATCTTAACACAATTCTAATATAAAAACACACACATTTACCAGAACAGGTTATGGAGGAATCACCATAAAAGCCTCTAGATCAGGGGTGTCATTCATACGGCCCGCGGGCCGGAACCGGCCCGCCAAGAGATTTGACACGGCCCGTGGCTCATTTATGTAAAAATATAATAAAAATACATTTTAAAAAGCCGCTCCGCGACGCGAGGCGCCGCGACGCCGCAGCGCCGCGCTCAGGGGTGAGTCCAGTGCATCTGTAGTGGCTCCACCAGAGCGGTGCTGAAGGAATAACATCTTAAACTACAAGACTCGGCGAAAAATACGGCACTTTGAGCGGAGAATTGAGAAAACAGAAGATAAACCTGTCTGGCCCTGAAGACACAGCAGTCTGTTTGTGCCCAGAGCGAGAGGTTAGTTCTGCTGCTGTAAAGGGAAGCTACCTGTGCTAACAACATTAGCATTAGTATCGCAGCCGCACAGTGAGAGAGAGTTTGTTAAAACTCTCACAGGCTGCAGACATGGTCTGAGAAACCACTCGCTTTAACCAACATGTTGCCATTGATAAGAGACTGATGTTACTGATATCACATATTCATTTGTGGTGTTACTGAAACTATCAGAGGAGTTTTGAGCGCTGCTGCTGGTGCTGCTGCTGGTTCTGCTGCTGGTGCTGCTGCTGGTTCTGCTGTTGTTGCTGGTGTGTTGGACAGTGTGGACGGGTACCGATGGTAAAAACAGGTGTAGTGACAAAGCTGCAAATGGAGGTGATGATTTTTGGACATTTGACTGTATTTTACACAGAGACACTGCTGCAGTCGTTAAGAATGGATCACGTTATGGAAGTTGTTTTATTCATTTCAACGGAATCATGGTCAGTTTGATGCTTTCTCTCTGATAATAACATAACCATGGACCTGACCATACATGGGCGGCACGGTGGCTGAGTGGATAGCACTCTCGCCTCTCAGCAAGAAGGTCCTGGGTTCGAATCCCGGTCGGACCAGGGCCTTTCTGAGTGGAGTTTGCATGTTCTCCCCATGTCTGCGTAGGTTTCCTCCGGGTACTCCGGTTTCCCCTACCACTAAAAATATGTCCAATAGTTCTGGCATGCGCTTCCTGTACTGGCCCCTCCCCTCTCTGTGTGGAGTGAGAGACAAATGCCCATAATTAACAATTGTAAACCGCTTTGAGACTCAGATCTGCAGTGAAAAGGCGGTATATAAATAATAACTTACTAACTTACTTACTTACATACAGAAGATGGTTAATGTGATAATAACATAACCATGGACCACACTGAAGATGGTTAATGTGATAATAACATAACCATGGACCTTACCACACTGAAGATGGTTAATGTGATAATAACATAACCATGGACCTTACCACACTGAAGATGGTTAATGTGATAATAACATAACCATGGACCTTACCGCACTGAAGATGGTTAATGTGATAATAACATAACCATGGACCTTACCACACTGAAGATGGTTAATGTGATAATAACATAACCATGGACCTTACCACACTGAAGATGGTTAATGTGATAATAACATAACCATGGACCTTACCACACTGAAGATGGTTAATGTGATAATAACATAACCATGGACCTTACACACTGAAGATGGTTAATGTGATAATAACATAACCATGGACCTTACCACACTGAAGATGGTTAATGTGATAATAACATAACCATGGACCTTACCACACTGAAGATGGTTAATGTGATAATAACATAACCATGGACCTTACCACACTGAAGATGGTTAATGTGATAATAACATAACCATGGACCTTACCACACTGAAGATGGTTAATGTGATAATAACCTAACCATGGACCTTACACACTGAAGATGGTTAATGTGATAATAACATAACCATGGACCTGACCACACTGAAGATGGTTAATGTGATAATAACATAACCATGGACCTTACACACTGAAGATGGTTAATGTGATAATAACATAACCATGGACCTTACCACACTGAAGATGGTTAATGTGATAATAACATAACCATGGACCTTACCACACTGAAGAAGGTTAATGTGATAATAACATAACCATGGACCTTACCACACTGAAGATGGTTAATGTGATAATAACATAACCATGGACCTTACACACTGAAGATGGTTAATGTGATAATAACATAACCATGGACCTGACCACACTGAAGATGGTTAAGCTGAGGTGCTGTGTTTAAGTGCTTTTTTCTATCTACCTACTTTACCTTTTGTGAGCAGGTTTTCTCTGTAATGAGCCTTAAAACAAAGCTAACATACAAATCTTAATATACATATTGTGAAATACCATTTACAATGTAATATTGTAAATACGTTACATTATTTGCACTATGGAAAACTCACTGTTACATTTAAGTTTGTAACAGAAAACTGAGTATTAAAGGATAGTGTTTTAAAGGAAGTTTTAAATAAATGTGTTTATGTGCACAAAAAGTTGGACTTTGTACCGTTTTTGGATATTTTTGAAGAGCATCTACTGGTCCGGCCCACTTGAGATCAGATTAGGTTGTATGTGGCCCCCGGACCAAAATGAGTTTGACACCCCTGCTCTAGATAATCACTTATGACGGAAATCATTTGTGACATTGTTCACAGTCTCCAAAATGTTGAAAGTCTGAGGGAGCAGAGATCTTAGAGAGAGATGCATCATGGGAACTCTCTGACTTCAAACGTAATGGGCCAAAGGAAAACATCTTGGACCAGCTCAGGCCAAACAGAAGCACTTTATTCACGAACAGAGCTGGTTTTACTAAAGGAGACTGCATCTGTGTTATATATAGTAAGTAAGTAAGGGTTATTTATATAGCACATTTTACAGACCAAGGTACAGACCCAAAGCATCAATGTTCAGATATTGTTCCATTCTCTCCACACGGTGACGACAGAAGTGAGACCTGAACACACTGAACCATCAAAGCCTCCGACCAAACACCATCCACTCTCTCATTACACTCAGACCTATTGGACATGTTTTTACTGGTACTCATATTGAAGCCCAAAAGCTGAGTCCAATCCATCCATTCAGCACCGGAGGAGTGTGGAGAGTCTGCGTGGACGTGCTAATGGGCTAAATACTAATGAGCTAAATGCTAATGGGATAAATGCTAATGAGCTAAATGCTAATGAGCTAAATGCTAGTGGAATAATTGCTAATAGGATAAATGCTAATCACAGCTGTAAATAACGACTCTGACCTGGGAATCGACACTAATCCATCCATATCTCTGGTCTGTTCTGGTCTCACTCACAGAGAAAAGGTCCGGCTCCGTGTGACTACAGTCCAGAGACAAGTCCAGGACCGAGCATCACGTCCAGCTTCAAATCCACCGTCCCCCGTCTCCACGCCGTCCACACGGTGAGTCCACAACAGAGCCATGTGTTCTTCTCCATCAGACCATTGGGACTGAAACCCAAGACACACTTCCTCTGGTTTGGGTTTGGGTTGTATTCTGGAAGGGAAGTGAATGTGGGATCGTTTATATTTTTGACCAAAACAAGGCTCAGTGAATCTTCTGGAGAGCAGCTTCATGGAGAGAACTTTACATTGGGTTGTTTGGTAAATAATTCCACATTAACGTCTGGTGTTTATTGTAGAAAACCCCGGGACCTGGAGCGTACGGGCCCTTCCTGAAGCTGGGCGACCGCGTGGACCCCGTCATGGACCCTTTGTTCAGCTTCTTCTTCCGGAACCGTCCGTAAATTCGTCCCAAAAGTCTGGGAGTTGTAGACTTTGAATTATAAACACATTTGTTCTGATTCAAACTAAGAACGGTTTGATAGATAATCTGTAAATACAGTTTGGTCAAACTGGAGAAGTAGAAACTCTTCTTCTTTAACCACTTTAAATGTTGATCAAATATAGAAACAAAAGGTCGACACGAGTCTAAACTGTGTTTGTTTTAACACTAGAGCAGTCAAAATGACGGCTTTGAGTTTTGGAATGAAGCTGTTTACGTACATTTGTGTCTTCACAACGTTTTCTGTTTCTGTGTCTTTATCTTTTATCAGATTAATTTTTGGTTGGTTGGCAAACAACCTTCAATGGCTGTGTTCTGGTCCTCGTCCTGGTCCTGGTCCTGGTCCTGGTTTTCCACCAGAGATAATAAAGTGCTAGTTACCATAGCAACATGCTGTTTACATGTTACAAAAACGTTATATTCAGTTTTAGCACTGATTTAAAGTGAATAAAGAAAACCATCACAAACTACTCACTTCATTAAACTTTTCAGAATTCCATCGATGTCAAAACGAGTTTCTGGGAGTCCCAGAGATTTACAGTGGCTTGCGAAAGTATTTGGCCCTCTTGAACCTTTCAACATTTTGCCACATTTCAGGCTTCAAACATAAAGATATAACATTTTAATTTTTTGTCATGAATCAACAACAAGTGGGACACAATCGTGAAGTGGAACGAAATTTATTGGATAATTTAAACTTTTTTAACAAATAAAAAACTGAAAAGTGGGGCGTGCAATTCGGCCCCTTTACTTTCAGTGCAGCAAACTCAGTCCAGAAGTTCAGTGAGGATCTTTGAATGATCCAATGTTGTCCTAAATGACTGATGATGATAAATAGAATGCACCTGTGTGTAATCAAGTCTCCGTATAAATGCACCTGCTCTTTGATAGTCTCAGGGTTCTGTTTAAAGCGCAGAGAGAACCATGAAGACAAAGGAACACACCAGGCAGGTCCGAGATACTGTTGTGGAGAAGTTTAAAGCCGGATTTGGATACAAAAAGATTTCCCAAGCTTTAAACATCTCAAGGAGCACTGTGCAAGCAATTATATTGAAATGGAAGGAGTATCAGACCACTGCAAATCTACCAAGACCCGGCCGTCCCTCCAAACTTTCATCTCAAACAAGGAGAAGACTGATCAGAGATGCAGCCAAGAGGCCCATGATCACTCTGGATGAACTGCAGATAACTCCTGGTGGGTTCCATAACCTGAGATTCCACTCACGTCATGGGGACTGGTTTTACGTGGTGGGGCCCGAACACCGGACCCCACTGGTCCAAGCTTAATAATCAATGGGTAATGCTTTTCTAACGGTCCTTATGCAGTCTCTGTAAAAATATGGAAAGGACCCCTGGAGGTTTACTTTCCTGAAAAAAGTGTGTTATGTGTCGGAACCCTGGTGGTGGGTTGCGGGATATCAAGGAGGGGCACACTGGGGCAATTTCAGTCCAGCAGGCTGGAGCCAATCATGGAGCAGCACAACAGAGGCTGGAGCCAATCATGGAGCAGCACAACAGAGGCTGGAGCCAATCATGGAGCAGCACAACAGAGGCTGGAGCCAATCATGGAGCAGCACAACAGAGGCTGGAGCCAATCATGGAGCAGCACAACAGAGGCTGGAGCCAATCATGGAGCAGCACAACAGAGGAAATCAGGTGTCAGGCTAGAAAAGGTGCAAGTGTGTGGTTCATTAGGCTGCAGCCAATCACAGAGCAGCACACTGAAGCGCACGCTTACAACCCACTGGTAAGTGCTGACTACAAGTCATGACTTCAAATTGTTATATAGAATGATTACAAATTATTTGTTGTTTGTGCAGCTTAGTCAAGAGTCCCTAATTGATGAAGTTGACTCAGATTCTGACGATTTAACTGTCAAGAAGAAACCTGTAAAAAAGTATGGAAAAAGAAAAATCAAAAACACTTTTCTTCAAGACTCGGAAAGTGACGAACCAAAGGCAAATAAGATTGTTATCATGCAGCTGCAAAAGAAGAAAAATGGGGGCGAGTTTACAGCAAGAGACACTTCTGCCTCTACTGTTCAATGTCCTGCCACAAAATGTCCCGTCATTTGACTAGAAAACATGGAAATGAAAGTGACGTAGCCAGAGCATTGGCTCTACCTGTGAAATCTAGAGCACGTAAACTTCAGTTTGATTTGATCAGGAATAGTGGAAACCGTGAGCACAATTTTGAGGTTTTAAAGGCCGGCATTGGAACTTTAGTCCCAGCTAAACAGCCAAATTGCCCAGTTAAATCCAGTGAGTTTTTGCACTGTATAGACTGTGGGGCATTGCTTAAGCGAAAGTCGCTGTGGAGGCATGTGGCCAGGTGCCGGCTTTCACAGAAAGATGCCCAGGCTAAACCAGGCTAAACCAGGCTAAACCAGGTAGAAGTAGGGTCCAGTCCCTCTGCTCCCTAGCCCAGCCTGTACCGGAGGGCATCAGCAAAAAGCTGTGGTCTTTAATTTGGGCAATGCATCAGGATGAGGTCACGGGTGTTGTCAAAGCAGAAAAGGGGATTCTGAGACTCGGAGAGCACCTGTACTTAAAACACGGCCATGATAAGACTAAGCATGATTACATTAGGCAGAAAATGAGAGAAGTCGGTAGGTTAATTAACGAAGCAAAAACCGCATGGAAACTGAAAACAATTAAGGATTTCTTTATTCCTTCCAACTTTAACCATGTGATTGATGCAGTCAGGTCTGTGGCTGGATATGATGAGGAAACAAATCAATACAAGACTCCATCCTTGGCCCTCAAACTCGGCCATAGCCTCAGAAAGCTAGCAGATATTCTTGAATGTGACTCAAAAATGGAGCATTGTGTTGATGAACTATTTATTAAAAACCTCCAACGAAGCCGGCTGCTTTTTGAGAAGAGGTGGGACGTCTGTGTTTCTTCTGCTGCCCTACAGACCCTCCGGCAAGCCAAGTGGAACACTCCGGACCTGCTCCCTCTGACTGAGGACGTTAGAGCCATGCATGCACATATTGAGGTATGTCGACCTGAATATGTGCAAACCCTAATAAGTGAGCCAACGTCTAAGCATTGGTCTAAACTGGCAGTTTTGACTCTTTGTGAGGTCATTATTTTCAATCGAAGTAGGGAAGGTGAGGTTTCAAAGATGCCACTGACAGCCTTTACCTTAAGAAGTAAGACTGGGATCCATTCTGACATTGCTCTGGGACTGTCCCAACTTGAGAAAAAGCTGTGTCAGCATTTTCAACGCATTGAAATTAAAGGGAAAAGAAGTGGGAAAGTGGTCGTTCTTTTGACTCCTGAAATGATTGCTTCGATGGAGGTGCTGGTGGAGAACAGAAGGGCCTGTTCCATCTCTGACCATAACCCATACTTCTTTTCCCGCCCGGGCGCAGACACCCACATCAGGGGATCAGACTCCCTACGCCAGGTAGCCAAAGAATGTGGTGCGGTGCATCCAGAGATGCTATCCTCAACCAAACTTAGAAAGCACATAGCTACTATGTCTACAGTTCTCAATATGAAAGAGAATGAGATGGACATACTTGCCAACTTCCTCGGCCATGACATTCGCATCCACAGGCAATATTACAGACTACCAGAGGGGACACTGGAGCTGGCCAAAATCAGCAAAGTGTTGATGGCCATGGAGCAGGGAAGAGTGACGGAATTCGAAGGAAAGAGCCTCGACCAGATACAAATTGAGCCTGAAGGTAATTCTTGATATTATTAAAATATGTATGATTTTTTTCCCCTAAAGGCCACTTGTATTTTTATTTTCTGTGCGACAGGGAGAGCAGTAGAGATCCTCTCACAAACGGACGGGCTAAAAGAAACTTCAAGCGGAGAACCTTCAACCATTCATCCAGATGCACCCCATGGTAGTGGCAGTGCCCCTTCTGGTAAGTGTACCAGGTGGGGGATTACAGCCAGGCTGCTTGGTCCTAACCCTGGGAGTGTATATTGCTAATATATTTTTATTTCTCTCCCTAGAACGTGTAAGAAAGCCATGGTCTGCATCTGAGGTGAAGGCTGTGGAGAAGACCATGACACCTTTCATACAGACTGGAAAGGTCCCTGGGGAAGTCTCACTGCCTGGCCTGCATTAATGCCTCACCAGATGACCTTAGACATCGGACATGGAGTGGCATTAAATTCTATGTCAAAAATAGAATCACTGCAATTCGAAAACAAAATCAAAAATCAAATTCCTTTAAAAGAGTTGTTTGTTTTCTATTGACTGTTTTGTATTACTTAAAGTAGTCCCAGTAAAAAAAGATTATGTCTATGGGTCCCATTCTGAACGGCCCTGTCAAAGGGACCCACCAGGTAACAAAAACGTGTATGTGTGTGTGTGTGTGACCCTATAAAAAAAACTATTTTGGATTCAGACTGAACATTTTATACCAGACTGTTTTCATCTATAAAGTATTAATAACATGCTCTGTGTCCGTATGAAGAACATCAGCTGAGTCTGAAGGACCTGAACACTGGGCCTTTGTGTGGACTGGGACCATAGACCTGGACCATAGACTGGGACCATAGACCTGGACCATAGACCTGGACCATAGACCTGGACCATAGGTGATGTCTGCGCCTCTTTGTGACTAATGATATAAGAAACCACTAAAACACATGAGGCCAATGTTCTTATATTCCACATGCCCATTTTGAGAAGACCATTCATGCTTTTATCACTTCCAGGATTGATTATTGTAACTCCCTCTGTGTCGGCATTGACCAGGCCCAGCTCAGCCGCTTACAGAGAATAGACTTTAAAACAGCTCTGCTTGTTACAAGTCTCTCCATGGCCTCGCACCAAAATATATTAGTGACATGTTAGTCCCATATGAACCAGCCCGGACTATGAGGAGCACAGGGACTGGACTCCTGCTGGGACTCTGAGGAGCACAGGGACTGGACTCCTGCTGGGACTCTGAGGAGCACAGGGACTGGACTCCTGCTGGGACTCTGAGGAGCACAGGGACTGGACTTCTGCTGGGACTCTGAGGAGCACAGGGACTGGACTCCTGCTGGGACTCTGAGGAGCACAGGGACTGGACTCCTGCTGGGACTCTGAGGAGCACAGGGACTGGACTCCTGTTAGTGCCCAGAGTCAGAACTAAACATGGGGAGGCTGCTTTTCAGATTCATGCTGCTAAAATCTGGAACAGTCTTCCTGAAGATGTGAGACAGGCCTCCTCTCTGACAATGTTTAAAACCAGGTTAAAGACAGTTCTGTTTAGCTGTGCTACAACTGAGGGATTTTATATTTTTATCTTTCCTTTTAATGTTCTGTGATTATTATTATTTTAATGCTTTTAATGTCCTGGGACCACCTCACTCCTGTCCTGGGACCACCTCACTCCTGTCCTGGGACCACCTCACTCCTGTCCTGGGACCACATCACTCCTGTCCTGGGACCACCTCACTCCTGTCCTGGGACCACCTCACTCCTGGTCTGGGACCACATCACTCCTGTCCTGGGACCACCTCACTCCTGTCCTGGGACCACCTCACTCCTGTCCTGGGACCACCTCACTCCTGTCCTGGGACCACATCACTCCTGTCCTGGGACCACCTCACTCCTGTCCTGGGACCACATCACTCCTGTCCTGGGACCACCTCACTCCTGTCCTGGGACCACCTCACTCCTGTCCTGGGACCACCTCACTCCTGTCCTGGGACCACATCACACCTGTCCTGGGACCACCTCACTCCTGTCCTGGGACCACCTCACTCCTGTTCTGGGACCACCTCACTCCTGGTCTGGGACCACATCACTCCTGTTCTGGGACCACCTCACTCCTGTCCTGGGACCACCTCACTCCTGTCCTGGGACCACCTCACTCCTGTTCTGGGACCACCTCACTCCTGTCCTGGGACCACATCACTCCTGTCCTGGGACCACATCACTCCTGTTCTGGGACCACCTCACTCCTGTCTTGGGACCACCTCACTCCTGTCCTGGGACCACCTCACTCCTGTTCTGGGACCACATCACTCCTGTTCTGGGACCACATCACTCCTGTCCTGGGACCACATCACTCCTGTTCTGGGACCACATCACTCCTGTCCTGGGACCACCTCACTCCTGTTCTGGGACCACATCACTCCTGTCCTGGGACCACCTCACTCCTGGTCTGGGACCACCTCACTCCTGTCCTGGGACCACCTCACTCCTGTCCTGGGACCACCTCACTCCTGTTCTGGGACCACCTCACTCCTGTTCTGGGACCACCTCACTCCTGTCCTGGGACCACCTCACTCCTGTCCTGGGACCACCTCACTCCTGTCCTGGGACCACCTCACTCCTGTCCTGGGACCACCTCACTCCTGTTCTGGGACCACATCACTCCTGCACTGGCTCCCGGTATATTTTAGAATTCATTTTTAAATTCTTATTATCGTTCTTTAAAGCTTTCATAGAATGGCACCTTCTTATTTATCTGAACTCCTCCAGCCCCACCTTCCCTCCAGAGCACTTCACTCTGCTGATCAGCACCTTCCTGTCGTCCCTAGGACCAGGTGAAGACCAGAGGAGACAGAGCTGTTTCTGTTATAGGACCAGGTGAAGACCAGAGGAGACAGAGCCTTTTCTGTTATAGGACCAGGTGAAGACCAGAGGAGACAGAGCTGTTTCTGTTATTGGACCAGGTGAAGACCAGAGGAGACAGAGCCTTTTCTGTTATAGGACCAGGTGAAGACCAGAGGAGACAGAGCCTTTTCTGTTATAGGACCAGGTGAAGACCAGAGGAGACAGAGCCTTTTCTGTTATTGGACCAGGTGAAGACCAGAGGAGAAAGAGCTGTTTCTGTTCTAGGACCAGGTGAAGACCAGAGGAGACACAGCTTTTTCTGTTATAGGACCAGGTGAAGACCAGAGGAGACAGAGCTTTGTCTGTTATAGGACCAGGTGAAGACCAGAGGAGACAGAGCTGTTTCTGTTCTAGGACCAGGGGAAGACCAGAGGAGACAGAGCTTTTTCTGTTCTAGGACCAGGTGAAGACCAGAGGAGACAGAGCTGTTTCTGTTATAGGACCAGGTGAAGACCAGAGGAGACAGAGCCTTTTCTGTTATAGGACCAGGTGAAGACCAGAGGAGACAGAGCTGTTTCTGTTATAGGACCAGGTGAAGACCAGAGGAGACAGAGCTGTTTCTGTTATAGGACCAGGTGAAGACCAGAGGAGACAGAGCTGTTTCTGTTCTAGGACCAGGTGAAGACCAGAGGAGACAGAGCTTTTTCTGTTATAGGACCAGGTGAAGACCAGAGGAGACAGAGCTTTTTCTGTTATAGGACCAGGTGAAGACCAGAGGAGACAGAGCTTTTTCTGTTATAGGACCAGGTGAAGACCAGAGGAGACAGAGCTGTTTCTGTTATAGGACCAGGTGAAGACCAGAGGAGACAGAGCTGTTTCTGTTATAGGACCAGGTGAAGACCAGAGGAGACAGAGCTTTTTCTGTTATAGGACCAGGTGAAGACCAGAGGAGACAGAGCTTTTTCTGTTATAGGACCAGGTGAAGACCAGAGGAGACAGAGCTTTTTCTGTTATAGGACCAGGTGAAGACCAGAGGAGACAGAGCTTTTTCTGTTATAGGACCAGGTGAAGACCAGAGGAGACAGAGCTGTTTCTGTTATAGGACCAGGTGAAGACCAGAGGAGACAGAGCTGTTTCTGTTATAGGACCAGGTGAAGACCAGAGGAGACAGAGCTTTTTCTGTTCTAGGACCAGGTGAAGACCAGAGGAGACAGAGCTTTGTCTGTTATTGGACCAGGTGAAGACCAGAGGAGACAGAGCTTTTTCTGTTATAGGACCAGGTGAAGACCAGAGGAGACAGAGCTGTTTCTGTTATAGGACCAGGTGAAGACCAGAGGAGACAGAGCTGTTTCTTGTTATAGGACCAGGTGAAGACCAGAGGAGACAGAGCTTTTTCTGTTCTAGGACCAGGTGAAGACCAGAGGAGACAGAGCTTTTTCTGTTATTGGACCAGGTGAAGACCAGAGGAGACAGAGCTTTTTCTGTTATAGGACCAGGTGAAGACCAGAGGAGACAGAGCTGTTTCTGTTATAGGACCAGGTGAAGACCAGAGGAGACAGAGCTGTTTCTGTTATAGGACCAGGTGAAGACCAGAGGAGACAGAGCTTTTTCTGTTCTAGGACCAGGTGAAGACCAGAGGAGACAGAGCTTTGTCTGTTATTGGACCAGGTGAAGACCAGAGGAGACAGAGCTTTTTCTGTTATAGGACCAGGTGAAGACCAGAGGAGACAGAGCTGTTTCTGTTATAGGACCAGGTGAAGACCAGAGGAGACAGAGCTGTTTCTGTTATAGGACCAGGTGAAGACCAGAGGAGACAGAGCTTTTTCTGTTCTAGGACCAGGTGAAGACCAGAGGAGACAGAGCTTTGTCTGTTATTGGACCAGGTGAAGACCAGAGGAGACAGAGCTTTTTCTGTTATAGGACCAGGTGAAGACCAGAGGAGACAGAGCTTTTTCTGTTCTAGGACCAGGTGAAGACCAGAGGAGACAGAGCTTTGTCTGTTATTGGACCAGGTGAAGACCAGAGGAGACAGAGCTGTTTCTGTTCTAGGACCACAGTTGTGGAACTCTTTACCGTTGCACATTAAAACTGCACAATCACTCGAACACTTTAAATCCCTGCTTAAGACGCATCTTTTTTCTTTGGCTTTTAATAACAAGTAGACAGAGACAATTTTGTTTTAAATATATATATTTCTGTATTTTATGTGTTTTTATTTTTATCCACTTATTTTCCTCGCTGTCTGTTCAGCACTTTGGTAAGCCTAGGCTGTTTTAAATGTGCTCTACAAATAAAGATTTGATTGAAAACATTTGAAATAACAGAATTCTCCAAAACCTCAGGTTTCTGAGCTTCACACTCTGAGACCGAAACATTTAGTTTTGGAGTGGATTTAGTCCTTGTTTTGGACTGGATGTCCGTCCTCGTGGGTCTCTGGTTCACAGGGCGGGCCCGTGTCAGTCCCATGCGGGACGGGCCCAGACAATGGCCCATTGTTCTCTGACAGCAGCCGTTGGAGACGATTAAACATTTACAGGTCATTTAATAGACGGGTCCAGTTACAGTCTGTCCGCGGGCCATGGGGGGGTAAGGGGAGACCAGAGTCCTGCCCTGGTCCTCTGCGGGGAGACCAGAGTCCTGCCCCGGTCCTCTGCGGGGAGACCAGAGTCCTGCCCCGGTCCTCTGCGGGGAGACCAGAGTCCTGCCCCGGTCCTCTGCGGGGAGACCAGAGTCCTGCTCCGGTCCTCTGCGGGGAGACCAGAGTCCTGCCCCGGTCCTCTGCGGGGAGACCAGAGTCCTGCCCCGGTCCTCTGCGGGGAGACCAGAGTCCTGCTCCGGTCCTCTGCGGGGAGACCAGAGTCCTGCCCCGGTACTCTGCCGGGAGACCAGAGTCCTGCCCCGGTCCTCTGCAGGGAGACCAGAGTCCTGCCCCGGTACTCTGCCGCGAGACCAGAGTCCTGCTCCGGTCCTCTGCGGGGAGACCAGAGTCCTGCCCCGGTACTCTGCCGGGAGACCAGAGTCCTGCCCTGGTCCTCTGCGGGACGCCACAGAGGATGAGGAGACGTAGGACAAAAGACACTGAAAAATGTATAAGTTATTTTAATCTTGTTGTGATTGGATAAAAGCTCTAACCTTCAAACCAGAACCTGAGGCAGAAGCTGAACAAAGGTGTGGCTCCACCTGCAGGTGAAAGCCAGATTCCATCTGAAGTTAAGCAGGGCAGAGCCAGGTTAGGGGGGTGATGGGAGACCTCTTGGAACACAGTGGGGCAGCTGTGGCTGTAAAGTGCCTGACACTGTTGTGTCCTCAGGCAGGACTCCGCCTCCGCCTCCGTCTCCGCCTCCGCCTCCGCCTCCGTCTCCGCCTCCGCCTCCGCCTCCGTCTCCGCCTCCGCCTCCGCCTCCGCCTCCGTCTCCGCCTCCGCCTCCGCCTCCGCCTCCGCCTCCGCCTCCGCCTCCGCCTCCGTCTCCGTCTCCGTCTCCGCCTCCGCCTCCGCCTCCGCCTCCGCCTCCGCCTCCGCCTCCGTCTCCGTCTCCGCCTCCGCCTCCGTCTCCGCCTCCGCCTCCGTCTCCGCCTCCGCCTCCGCCTCCGCCTCCGCCTCCGTCTCCGCCTCCGCCTCCGCCTCCGCCTCCGCCTCCGCCTCCGTCTCCGCCTCCGCCTCCGCCTCCGTCTCCGTCTCCGTCTCCGCCTCCGCCTCCGTCTCCGCCTCCGCCTCCGTCTCCGCCTCCGCCTCCGCCTCCGCCTCCGCCTCCGTCTCCGTCTCTGCCTCTGCCTCTGTCTCTGCCTCTGCCTCTGTCTCTGTCTCTGCCTCTCTCTCTCTCTCTGTCTCTGCCTTTGTCTCTGTCGTGGCTGATGTGACGTGATGTGGTGCTTGGTTCCTCGCGGACAAGAAAGTAAAGAACGCCATCCTGCTTCATTCCCACATGTTTGGGAGGAACACTGTCCCGTCTGACAGACCTCACAGATCCCTCAGACTGACCACAGCGCCCCCCTGTGGTCTCTGGAGCAGTGAGTCCCAAGTGTGAGCTAAGGTGAAGGCCCCCTCGTCTCTGTTGATGGTCCTGTTTCCTGATTTTAATCGCCCTCGACTCCATCTTTTTGAATTTATGTTCTTCTGTTCCTACTGTTTTTGCCTTGTCCCAGTGGTCCAATATTAACGAGAATTAGCTGAGTAATCATCAGAGCGAGCACTGACGGACACGGTCTTCCGTCAGGAGGAAACCAGACTCGGGGAGAAAAAGGCAAACTGAACGTGCGATTTCCTTTTTAGCTGAGACATTAGTGCAACAATTGATTCTAAATATTTAAACTCGTCAGAGTTCCCAAACAATACGGTACAACAGCTCTGTATTAAAGCAGCTTTAAAGGGGACCTATCAGGCCTCTCGTGTGCGGTTCATCTCATGCTTTTATTAATACATGAGATTATTGTATCGGGTTCAGCTGACCTCCACAGCACCTCTCACCTGGGCCTGACTCCACTGGGGCCGGGTCTGGACCTGCACCTGGACCTGGGTTGGGACTCTCTGGTGGTTTATGGTTTCCTCTCTGCCCTGTCAATGCCCCGACCCAAAAGTTCATACCGTGACCTCAACTGTGTTGGCTGTCGGGCACGATGCTGCACCGCGTTTAATGGCGCGTTCAGACCGGATCATGCGTTGCGTCGGGTTTCAATGCAAAGTTCAGTCAAGACGCACGGACGGACTGTTCAGTAGAAACGCACACACGGACTGTTCAGTAGAGACGCACACACGGACTGTTCAGTAGAAACGCACACACGGACTGTTCAGTAGAGACGCACACACGGACTGTTCAGTAGAAACGCACACACGGACTGTTCAGTAGAGACGCACACACGGACTGTTCAGTAGAGACGCACGGACTTGGTGGGAAAGTGAAAAGGGGAGGAGCAGGAGCGAAAAATCAACGCCCACAGGAGATGGATTCTGCTCATCCTTTCCTTGGGACGTTCGTGCGACAACCAATCAGAGAGCAGCAAAGTGGTCACGGGGACATTAGCGGACTGAGCGAGCAGACTGAAAATACTGTAAACAGCCAAAACAGGACCCACACCAGACTTCACCAGAACTCAAACCAGGGTTGACAATGGGGGACTCTGTGCTTTTGAATATATGCGTTGTCATGCTCCCGTGACCTTATGCAACGGCTTCCAGTGTGTTCACCGATGCGGAAATACTGTTTAATAATATGAAAGAACGTATGACGCACCTCCGTGAACACATACTACTGTTATATAAAGTCACCGTGAACACATACTGCTGTTATATAAAGTCACCTCCGTGAACACATACTGCTGTTATATAAAGTCACCGTGAACACATACTGCTGTTATATAAAGTCACCTCCGTGAACACATACTGCTGTTATATAAAGTCACCTCCGTGAACACATACTGCTGTTATATAAAGTCACCTCCGTGAACACATACTACTGTTATATAAAGTCACCTCCGTGAACACATACTACTGTTATATAAAGTCACCTCCGTGAACACATACTACTGTTATATAAAGTCACCTCCGTGAACACATACTACTGTTATATAAAGTCACCTCCGTGAACACATACTACTGTTATATAAAGTCACCTCCGTGAACACATACTACTGTTATATAAAGTCACCTCCGTGAACACATACTGCTGTTATATAAAGTCACCTCCGTGAACACACACTGCTGTTATATAAAGTCACCTCCGTGAACACATACTGCTGTTATATAAAGTCACCTCCGTGAACACATACTGCTGTTATATAAAGTCACCTCCGTGAACACATACTGCTGTTATATAAAGTCACCGTGAACACATACTGCTGTTATATAAAGTCACCGTGAACACATACTGCTGTTATATAAAGTCACCTCCGTGAACACATACTGCTGTTATATAAAGTCACCTCCGTGAACACATACTACTGTTATATAAAGTCACCTCCGTGAACACATACTGCTGTTATATAAAGTCACCTCCGTGAACACATACTGCTGTTATATAAAGTCACCTCCCCGTGAACACATAGTACTGTTATATAAAGTCACCGTGAACACATACTGCTGTTATATAAAGTCACCTCCGTGAACACATACTGCTGTTATATAAAGTCACCTCCGTGAACACATACTGCTGTTATATAAAGTCACCTCCGTGAACACATACTGCTGTTATATAAAGTCACCTCCGTGAACACATACTACTGTTATATAAAGTCACCTCCGTGAACACATACTGCTGTTATATAAAGTCACCTCCGTGAACACATACTGCTGTTATATAAAGTCACCTCCGTGAACACATAGTACTGTTATATAAAGTCACCGTGAACACATACTGCTGTTATATATGGTCACCTCCGTGAACACATACTGCTGTTATATAAAGTCACCTCCGTGAACACATACTGCTGTTATATAAAGTCACCTCCGTGAACACATACTGCTGTTATATAAAGTCACCTCCGTGAACACATACTGCTGTTATATAAAGTTACCTCCGTGAACACATACTGCTGTTATATATGGTCACCTCCGTGAACACATACTGCTGTTATATAAAGTCACCTCCGTGAACACATACTACTGTTATATAAAGTCACCTCCGTGAACACATACTGCTGTTATATAAAGTCACCTCCGTGAACACATACTGCTGTTATATAAAGTCACCTCCGTGAACACATACTGCTGTTATATAAAGTCACCTCCGTGAACACATACTGCTGTTATATATGGTCACCTCCGTGAACACATACTGCTGTTATATAAAGTCACCTCCGTGAACACATACTGCTGTTATATATGGTCACCTCCGTGAACACATACTGCTGTTATATAAAGTCACCTCCGTGAACACATACTGCTGTTATATAAAGTCACCTCCGTGAACACATACTGCTGTTATATAAAGTCACCTCCGTGAACACATACTACTGTTATATAAAGTTACCTCCGTGAACACATACTGCTGTTATATATGGTCACCTCCGTGAACACATACTGCTGTTATATAAAGTCACCTCCGTGAACACATACTACTGTTATATAAAGTCACCTCCGTGAACACATACTGCTGTTATATAAAGTCACCTCCGTGAACACATACTGCTGTTATATAAAGTCACCTCCGTGAACACATACTGCTGTTATATAAAGTCACCTCCGTGAACACATACTGCTGTTATATATGGTCACCTCCGTGAACACATACTGCTGTTATATAAAGTCACCTCCGTGAACACATACTGCTGTTATATATGGTCACCTCCGTGAACACATACTGCTGTTATATAAAGTCACCTCCGTGAACACATACTGCTGTTATATATGGTCACCTCCGTGAACACATACTGCTGTTATATAAAGTCACCTCCGTGAACACATACTGCTGTTATACAGTAGGTCCCATTTCGTTTTGTCGTCTTCATTCACGCTTTTTGGGAATCACGCAGCTGCGTGAAAAATATTACATCTTATCGCCACAAGGTGGCAGGTTAAGTCCGCTTTAGCCAGCGACTTAGACGCTCAGGTATCAGACTGCGTGCAAACCTGTCTAGCCCAGAAATTCTATGTTGGCCGAATGGTTGGCCGAACATTGAAGACTGGGACCTGGAGAACCCAGGTTCGATTCTTGTCTGAGGCAATATTGGTTGCACATCTTTTGGTTGCTTGTGTGCAATTACGTAACGTTATCAGATTGTTATCTTCTTTCCTTGTCAAAAGGAAATGTGTAAAATTGGCTGTGTGTTCAAGCCGTGCATGTGAATGTATATGTGTTGCTATTGAATGCTTTTTCAAAGTAAGAGCATAACAGATAACATATACATATTTTGTACTAATGTTAATCTTTATAATTAAATTGCATCAACGTATATATGTGATGCAATCTGGGAAAACCCGTCGGATGTCACGCTGGCACGTTCCGAGTAAACAGTAAAAATAGGTCGATTGTCATTTTTTTGGCAAAATTGTTTTTTCATTAAACAATTATTATATAACATCTTGTCTTTAATGTCTGAAAAAATCTAGGTGAAATTCATTAGTGTTATACGTTAAATATTGTGATATGTTTTGATAAACCGAACGTTACGTTACATCCTCCGCTCTGGCCCCGAGAGCAGCTGCTGTGACCCCCGCTCTGACAGCTCAGTGAACGCACTGCCGTCTGGGCTCCGAGCGCGGACCATAGACACGCGAACAGAACCACAGACAGGACCATAGACACCCGAACAGAACCACAGACAGGACCATAGACACCCGAACAGAACCACAGACAGGACCATAGACACGCGAACAGAACCACAGACAGGACCATAGACACCCGAACAGAACCACAGACAGGACCATAGACACGCGAACAGAACCACAGACAGGACCATAGACACGCGAACAGAACCACAGACAGGACCATAGACACGCGAACAGAAACCACAGACAGGACCATAGACACGCGAACAGAACCACAGACAGGACCATAGACACGCGAACAGAACCACAGACAGGACCATAGACACGACGACAGACAGAACAGAACCACAGACAGGACCATAGACACGCGAACAGAACCACAGGACCATAGACACGGAACAGAACCACAGACAGGACCATAGACACGCGAACAGAACCACAGACAGGACCATAGACACGCGAACAGAACAGACGACAGAACCACAGACACAGACAGACCATAGACACGCGAACAGAACCACAGACAGGACCATAGACACCCGAACAGAACCACAGACAGGACCATAGACACGCGAACAGAACCACAGACAGGACCATAGACACGCGAACAGAACCACAGACAGGACCATAGACACGCGAACAGAACCACAGACAGGAC